GCCCAGCTCTTCTTCTTCTGTCCTCCAGTTTCCAGATGTTTTCAGGCGCAGCTCTTCTTCTTCTGTCCTCCACTGGTCCAGTTTCTTAAGATGTCTTAAGGACTCACTTCTCACCGGCCCAGTTTCCAGCCAGCAGCTCTTTGGGAATCAGCTTGTTGCTGCCTTCACAAATCCCATTTTCTAAATATATATATTTTTCTAAACAAATGGGAACAAATTATGTGTGCTAGTAACAAAACCTAAAGATCCAATTTCTACTGCTTCTTTGCCACGTTGTCTGTCCTGTTTGGACACAATATGGCTCATCCCTTGAGCAAGGGTGAGGGTAGCTCAGACCTCTTTCTTCCCCACTGCCATCAGACTTTATAACAGCTAATAAGTTGTCAATCAGGACATGCTTACATTTGCACTGTGAGCATTCTGCTTTGTTTTATTTGCACAACTCAAATTTTGTCTATTTATTGTTTTTGTTCTGTCTATTGGATTTAACTGCAGACATCTTTCATATTTCTAACCTTTACTTTGGCATTCTGCAGGAAGAAAAGTAAGATTTTTATTGTACATGGAACATTGCATTGTGCACATGACAATGCATTTTGATATTTGAAAATGGAACGAAAAAGCACGTTCCTCTGAAAATTGCTCAGCTAGAAGGTCTAGACTGAAAATGAGAGGAAAAGCAGAACATATCCAGAGTTAAGAAGAAAGTCTGCCTACTTTAAAGCTCTACAAAGCATAAAACTTGCAATTGACTCTGCATCATCAGTGGAGATAACCCACTTAGTCTGCACTAAAGAGCCAGATAACATCAGACGACACAGTTTACAGGTGATCGTCTAACAGCACCGCTGAGGAAATGCTGTGGATTTCATTTAAACGAATTCTGTAAATCTTCATGTCTAAGAATTTCTATTGTTGTGAGTCTTCCGTTTGGATTTGCAAACAATAAATAAAAACATAAATAATACATACATAAATAAATAAACAAATAAACACATACAATAAAATAAAATAAAACAAAATAAAATAAAATAAAATAAAACAAAACAAAATAAAATAAAATAAAATAAAATAAAATAAAATAAAATAAAATAAAATAAGATCAAATAAAATAAAAATAAAGACAGGACTGACTGCATGTGAGTCTGGCCTCCTGTGTCCTGGGCTTTGACTTGGCCTTCCCTGAGAGTGAGCAGCACAGGCTGGCTCTGTACAGCCCAGCCCTGCTGCACCACCTCACCACTGGATTTAGTGCCAGCAGTGCCACAAGAGTCCACATCTTCACTCACCTCATCAGCCAATCAAGAGTGGCCAGCTGTTTATTTTCCTGCTAAATCTCACTCGTACTAACACTGTGAATTCTATTAGTAAAGGTGCTTGCTCTGAATCTGCTATGAGCCCCTCGTGTCTCGCCCAGAGCTGGTGTTGTGTTAGCCGGCGTGTTTATGCACACACTTCCACCAATGTGCTCATGAACCACCATATAGTTAAGTGTTTGTGTGTGGAGTCTAGGGGGACATGTAGCCCCCGCTCCCTTTTTCCTTAGCAGCATCAGTGCTCCATCTCTCTCACTCTGCTGCATTCACACAGAATTTTATTTTTCCTCAGAAGGCGTTTACTTTGGCTGCTGCTTTCTGCAGCGGCATTTTCAACAGTTTCTCCCAAACTGCTCTGATAAATCTTTAGACATGTGCTCATTCACAGAACTCAGTCCACTGAATGCCTCCCAATGCCAAATGGTGGGACCTCACTAGCACTACCAATGCTAATCAGGTGTTAACCTCGATTCAACAATGCTGGGAGACTTTTTTCTCGGTTATTCTCCATATAGGGCTTGAAGATGTTCTGTAGGTGAAAAGCAAACCTGCTTAAAGCAGAGTGAACCACCAGGGGAAATGGAAACAGAGGCAGGGGCCTCCTGGAGGGGTGACCCCCACCAGGGCCAGGGGGGAGGTCATGGCACATGATAGTCTTGGTCTGACCAAAATAATACAAACACTGTAGTTCTTAACGGTGACTGGAACACACTGATAATGCAGCTGGGTTTGAATCCCTCCTAAATGCAGCCAGACTCAGATGATGCTCTTGTCCTGAATCATTTAGTACAAAAATACAACTGGGTGTTAATCCAGATGAGTATCAATAAAGCTGCTCTCATTCACATTTTTTAGTTTCTTTGGTCACATACCAGGATTGAACATTGCCAGCCTGTTGCTCTGCTCTAATAAACTCTAATAAAACCCATATTTTCCATCCATCTGACAGAATCACCATTCAGGGAGCTGAACGACTGAATGACTGAAAGGCCTCACACGGACCATGATCTAACCATGACATGACTCTGGCTTCGTAGTTGGTGACTCTGACTTGGCCTTGGGGTGAGTGTGTGGGGGGGGCTGGTTGTCTCCTGCTTTGCCTCATGAGCTAACACAAAGGAAGTTAGAGGCAGCAGGATGTCCTGAAGGACCGGGGAAAGACCCCCCCGACCTCCTTTACATGAAAACCGGGACACAGATGGTGGTCCCCATAAAGACCACCTCAAACTGCGCCTCACCTCATCTCTGCATGCTTCAGTGTAGCCCGTTATGGTCACCAGTGACCCAGTTTGCTGGGAGGACTGCTGTTATGTAGCAGTCCTGTACACACCCAAACTCACAAGTGGACATGTGGTCCTGGCAGAAGTCCCCTTCCTCAAACACACATCTCCCCCAGCAGCACTCTCAGGTTTGCCTTGCCTTTACTCCTCCAGGTTGAAGAGAGGGGCAGGAGGGGGCCAGGCCAGAGAGGACCACTAGGGTTCACTGAGGGCTTCGGGCTCTTGCGGTCAGTCTGATGAATATTAACGCATAAATTGAATTCGAACATGAGCTTTATCTGTTCTGTCTTCCAACACAAACAGCCGGGGATGCATGGAGAACGTATTTGCCACATTTGCCACCACTCCTACATAGTCTGGCAGCGCATGAGACTCCTGATTCAGCTCAGGCTGCCCGCGTTGACCAGAAGTTATCTGCCCTGGTCAATATGGTCTTTGTGTGCAGAGGCCATGGTGGAAGAGCCCTGGCACTGGCAGAGCCACCCATCCCAAACCACATCATTCACAGAAGGGAGAAAGCTGTGGCTGTGGTTTCAGCAGCGGCCCGTCCTGCCCCGGTGTGGCTGAGCAGGGCCGCACGCTGAGGGGCTGCAGGAGAGGAGGGAGGCTGGAGGAAACAGAGGGGGCCACAGGTTTGTGGAAGCCCTGGGCCTCTCCTCATCCCGGCTGTGCTGACCTGTGGGACTAGTGGAGGTGTGAGCAGCTGTTTCTGTCTGCGTTAGGTTTTCCTGCCTGTGTGAGGATGGTTGTGTTATGTTTCTGTTTCTGAGACTTTACCCAAAGCAGAGCCAGAGTTCCAGCTCTCATCAGTCTGACAATCAGAGGAAAACCCCCAGTCAGAGTCAGTGGAGACAGGAGGAGATAGAGGGAAGCCCAGAAAGAGGAGTAGAGGGTCCAGAGGTCTGGAGGAGTTAGGATAGGAGCTGCTCTGTGGAGAGGGGCTGGAGGAGGAGTTAGCATAGGAGCTGATGCATTAAGATGACAGTCTAAGAGGCCTCAAGGAGGAAGCTTATATCAATGGGTTCAGAACCAGACCCATGCATGCGAACATCTGTCTGATGGTGAGGATTCTGTCTTTAGGTTCCAGTAGGCCCCCTGGACCAGGTCTGAAGCTTTTAAATGCTGTGTGAAAACTGGTTTCAATGTCAGATTTCAAAGGATTTTCAAAGGACCTTGGTCCTGGACCAAGCTGTGGTGGGTAAGACCAGCCCACAGCCATGTGACCCTGTGCCCTCTGACTGGACTGTAAGGCAGCGGGTGGGGCCGAGCAGAGGCGTGCACGGCGGCACACAGAGGCTGTTGTGCTCACCGTCCACAGGGCTGATGTAATCCGGGAGGTGGGCGGCGGCTGCTGCGGCCGCCGCGGCCGCCGCCGCCCCGTTCTGCATCAGCAGCTCGCCGTACGGACTCCTCTGGCTGGCCCCCGCCATCAGGTGGTAGAACTCAGTGGGGTTCGCTCCCGGAGGGGGAGGCGGGAACCCGAACAGGGCTCGCTCCTTCAGCTGCTCGTGGGTCACTGCAGGGGCAAGGAAAGAGAGAAACATCAACTGTCTAAAGATCAGGCAGAAAACCAGCCGAAAGGAAAACTCAGACGGTCACACAAAGCCATTTGACCTTGTTTTGAGTCATGTGACTCAGTCACCGACAGATGAACAGAACAGAAACACGAGCAGAAAAGTTGGAAGGGCTCAGCAAAAGACTAAAGACTCCCTTGCTTTACAGAGTTGTGCTAGCTTGCATGTCCCAGGGCACGAGGCTTTGATCAAAGATGTCTGATGTCTGAGGTTTGCCGGGTTAGAGGAGTTCTCTCTGGGGGACAGAGAGCTGGCTGAGCAGAGCAGAGGGGGCTTCACATGGAGGCCGTGTCACATTCCAGAACCTCTCCTGGTCTGCACATTATGTTTGACAGGATGAAGTCATACTCAGGTGCTCAGAGGGGAGCTGCGTGCACACGGAGACGCGCTGGAACACTAACAATACTGTGGAAACCTTCAAACCGGCATGAGCAAAAGCAATATTGACACAGAAATGTGTGAACACCTGTAGCCAGTAAAGGCACATTTAAAGATGTCAGGAGCTATAAGGCTGAGACGTAGATTGGTCCCCCTCCCCTCTCCATTTCCTGTGCCTACCCCTCCCTGCCCCAGAGGACTGGGGGGGGGGGGGATTCAGGCTAAGGTGGGATGGGGAATTTAAATGCAATCTGATGGATTTATTAGGAATGTGGGGGTTTTAAGGTGTAATTGTGAACTAAAACAAAAACAAAAAGGTTTACTCTACCGGCTGTACACACAAATCTAACATCAAATGATGCAACCCCCCCAAACCCTGACACCGTTAGAGTCCCAGGCCTCAGCTCTAATAACGCCACACAGAAAAGGCGCTGTGTGTCTGGACCTCTGTGGGAGGAACCCTGGTTCTGACTGGCAGAGCCACAGGTGACAGGGGGCCTCAGCCCTGCTCCGTCCTGCTGCCTCACCTCCTGAGTACAGAGGTGGTGGGTTCATGGGTGGCTGCAGCTTTGAATGGGCTGCACCCAATCTGCCCCCCGAACTCCCTGTGAAGGATGTCCCTGCTCATCTTCAGGGCCTGAGCAGGTGGCTGGAGACAGGCAGCTCTGAGCAGGTGTGGAGGAAGCAAGAGGTTGATTTAAGGTTTCAAAATGTTTGTCCCTATGGTATCGGACCTCTGTCTAATGAGGAGTGTTTAAAAACCTCAATGAATCTGACTTATTGATTTACAGTGATGGGACACATAAACCTGCTCAGCTTCTGGTTGAGAAGGAGTTAGGGGTTAGATTCTCCTTACGTACCACAAGCAGCCTGGTTATGTGTCTGTGTATGGGAGTATTGTGTTGTGTGCCACAGCCAATCAAAGCTGAACAGTTGACTTCAGGAGGTCAGATGGCTTTGGAAGGCCTGGACCTGTAGGCCTCCATGCTGTGGAGGAGCTCCTGATCCAAGCCCTACCATCCCCTGTCCACCACACGGGTCTGTGGAACTGCTCTTCCTGGTGGTCTTAAGGCGGTTACCTTCAGCTGGGCTGAGTCCCCGGGCAGCAGAGATCATGGACAGGGTGGGGCTCCCGTGGACCGAGCGCAGGTAGTGCTCCATGTGCGGGCTGACGTAGGGATGTGGGGGGCTGAAGGGGGACTCGCCCGTCCCCGCCGCGGCGTGGGGCGACAGGCGGATCAGAGAAATGTCTGAGATGACCGGGCTGCCCGCCAGTCCAGGGGGTCTGCGGAGAAGAGATGACAGTGAGACTACCTGCAGGAACAGGGGGGGGGCACAGCCTGCTGCAAATGAAAGGCAAACATTTGACAGAGCTAGCAGCTAGCAGGGCTTTTCAATGCTACCTCCACCAGAGTCTGGAGTCTCAGGGCCCTTCTACCTTTCTCCCTGCTCAGCCCCACAGCTAATGCATAATTGACCCCTTTTGTTCACCTTCTCCTATTAAGCCCTAAAATTACAGACAAGTTGAGACTGATGGCTTCCAACAGAAAGACAGAGATGAGCAAGACTCTTTTTGGGTGGGCAGAACGACAGGGTCGCTCACAGATAAGACTCAGCCGGATGTGTAAAGACCAAAGAGGAGCTCCAGCCCCCCGGCTAGAGCTGCCTCTGAACCTCTCCGACGGGCTGCCAGTCAAAGCAGGCCGCGCAGTCAATGTGTCGTCTGGCAGGTAATTGGTGGATGTGCTTGCAGAAACACAGACAGGTTAGTGTCATAACTCCTGATAGCCCCAGGCGGCCAAAGTGTCTGCAGCCTTTTAAGGGCGCAGCAGCACTGCTGCTGACCTCAGTTTGCTTTGCTCTGATGAGCGGCCCCTCTTTTCCGTAGGGTGGTGCCCACACCTCCACCCTCAGAGAGCCTCAGAGCCACATGGATCGGCTCTGTAACGATGACACGCACCCCACCATCTCCCATAGTTTCCTGATTACACAATGTAATATATGGACATTCCCAGACCCTGCTCTGCTCGGCTAGGTCTGGTCTGGTGTGTAGGACATGTGTGAGCAGGAACTGTCTGATTCTCTGGACATTGTGAGGAAGTCGAGTGTGGGAATGTGAGCATTTAGAGGAGAGAATAAACTCAAAGGAGGAAACTGGTGCTGTCTTTCAGATATTACTGTGACACAGACAAGCTTTGATCATATGACGGAGTAGCAGTCGATCTTTGTCCCTGAAGAAAGAAAGCGTGTAGACAAGAGGAGAAGAAGAGCAGGAGGCAGAGGGGAGGGCAGCCCCTTTGTGAGAGGGAGCAGACCTGTGATTCACCGCAGCGCTCTGCGTGGGAAAGAGGGGCTTTCAGATGAAGAAGTGAACAAGCTGTTAGGTATTTTCTGTTTCTTGAAATGTGCTCCGAACACATGCATTAGTTTGGTTTGTCTCAGTCTTCTGCTTTTGAATCGGCTTCTCTGTGACATCCAGATAAAACAATCCTGTGGAGTTAAAGACGTTTCTGTTTTCATTTGACAGCTGGGAGAGCGATGTACATATCTGAGGAAACAAGAAACAATGATGAAGAAAGAGTGTCTGGTCCAGGTAGTAGTTGCATTTGGCAGCCGTGACAGATGGGCCCAGGGCCTGGAGGGGCCAGTCTGTAAGCCCCATCCAGCCTTTGGAGTTTCCCTGCTCAGTCTCCCTTTCAGAGTGTCTCTGCAGACGCCAGGCTGCAGCCAGCCCAGCCTTGCCCGGGCCTTTGCTCCATTTCCAGTAAGCGCCTGCAGACTGCTGGTCTTGTCTGAGGGCCAACTTTCTGCCGTCAGCCCAGTCTTCCCCTACAAACAACCATAAAGACCCCTCTGTTCAGGGCAAAAGGGGAGATGTGAGAAGAAACAGACGCTCTATACACAAAAACAGGTTTTGCTCAGAGCCCTCTAAGCACAGAGGTTGGGCACTGCCTTCTCAGATTAGTTCTTGGGTGCTTTACTACAAACTGGGTACGCTGGCACTGGCACAGACTCTACTGTTTGGGTAGGATGACTCTGGGAGCCGACCAGAGTAACGGTACGCATGGATTCCCATTATTCAGCCAATCACTGAGCTAAGGTACAACCTTCATCTGTAAAAGGTAGAACATTAGAAACATCTGGAGCCTGCATCCTCCTTCCCCCTCGCTTCATACCGGACTGATGCTGCTTTACAGGAGATCCCAGTGGATGCCAGATTTGTTTTTACATTTTACTGAAGTTATTCTTCAGTAGAATAACTTTGGTAAAGACTCCATCCACAGTCTACAGCACCAACCAGGAGTCGTAGGGGTGGGGGTAGTCCTCCTGGACAGGTCAGCCCATCCCAGAGCCACACAGACACAAGCAACCTACACCCTCACACGGGCAGTTCTAGGGTCCACAGTTAACCCAAAATGATAGTTTTGGACTGAACCCGGAGTACCAGGAGAAAACCAACATATGCACGGGGAGAACATGTGAACTCCACACAGAAAGAAGAAGCCAGGATTCAACTCAGGAACTGACTGTTAGGTGAAGGGCTAACCACCTGACCTCCAGGCAGATCCTCCCTCCATTTCTATGTACAGCAAATTAAATATTTCCAGGGGATAAAGCTGGTAAAATCTGTATCCACCTCTCTATACACTCATTTACTGAAGGCTAACAGCTAAACAGACTCATGGCTCAACAGGAAACAAACGATTACACTAAATCAATCACAAAACATCTCTTAACAGGACGAAGAGCAGTGTTTTAAAAGGTCCTGCACCAACAAGGTCTGTTCACAACATCAAGATATAAAGATAACTTTCCTTTAAAGGCCTTCAAATCAGTTTGATGGTTTAACTTGAAGTGAGGACAGGAAGGTAGTGAGGTTTTAGACTTTTATCTCCAGCATCCCATGCAGCATCGTCCCTCAGAAGCTCACCCTCTGCTGTTTGTTTCTGGGCTGGTAGCCCATCGCTGACACAATATCAGGCCGTTTAGTAAGGTCAGGGTTATTGTCAGTTTCCGTTCTGACTCACTGCTGAAGCCTGGTGTGTCCACCCTTTATCTGACAAGACCATACTTGAAGTGTGGTTTCCTGAAGCTGTAGTCCCAGAAGTTGATGAAGAAGCTCTTTCAGGCCACAAATCCTCTGGAGAGCCGCGTCTTTTAATCTGTAGCTGCCATTTAAAGAAGCTCCAATCATACCAGACCACTATGGGTGGCTGCATTCTGCAAAGTGACTAAAAAATGATAAACCACAGGCAGAGATGCCTTGCTATTTAGCCTGCTAAGGATCACACTGGGGGCCAAACAGAAAACGAGGGATAGGAAGCCTACTTGAGCCAGTAGATGATATACATTCAAGCAGGTAATTGCTATTTGTCTCCTTGTTCTCTTTATGATTACAATCTCTATTGTTCCATTGTTAGAACTCGGCTGTGAGAAAGAATGATTTGGACAAGGTACAGCTTGTTGAGTACATGAGTAATCCTGTGAGTAAGTGCATACCACGGGGCCTGTATGACCAACGGCTGCTGGGGGCCGATTTCAGCAGGACGGGGGCTCAAAGGAAAAATGTGAAACTGAGACAAATTCAAGTTTGCTTTCACACCGATACCACAAAATGATTAGTTGAAGCTTTTTTCTGTCAATCAAAGCTGAAAACGACCACATAGAATGGATATTGGTGCTGTCTAATTGGTTTCATTGTCTGGGCTCCTATTGGTCAATGGGTTCAAATACATTTGAACTTTATGAAAATCAAAACTGTGATTGGTCAGGTTTGCACCAGTGATGCTTTCATCCAACGGCCTGACAGTGTGACTTAAGTCCCGTTCAGGGTACATTAATGACTCTTTCATATATGAGATTCAACTGATTAGATGTGTGTCTTAAAATACCGCCTGAGGCTATTTCTCCAAACCTAAAACTTCCAAACCTTCACTCTGAACATTTCAGCTATCCTCTGCCTTTGGATATGAGTTTAGACCAGTGATGATGCAATTATTAATTTTCCTGTTTTTCCCTTCATAGAAGAGGAGGGAGAACTAAATCAGGACAGCTTCCCCGGTTCCTCAGATGGCTGCGAGCCCTGAAACCAGCAGAAGACATGTAGGTATGAACTTCCTTCTCATGTAGCCTACTGATGTTGTCAGACGGAGGAAATGACCACATTTACTTATATGGACTTATATGGCTGATGGAATAAGAAATTAACATGATTGTACAAACTTAAACTATTTTAGATTAAGTTAGTTCTATCCAACTTTATCTTTACAGGAAATCTGATTCAGACTCTGAGTCTCACTGGAAGGAGAGACTGTTTCCCTGAGCTGGAGTTTTGGCCGTGCTGAGCTTTTACAGCTGAATGGAGTCGACTTGAAGCCTGCTGAGTTATTCTGGATAAGCAGTATGTGGTCAAACAAACTCATTTACGCAGTAGTCAGTTGTAGTGTCTTGTCATTTGATAGCTACAGAAGTACTCAAACAGGGTGCCTGGTATGTTCATAAAACCTATCAGTCATGTTCCAAAAAGGCTGACTTATGTTTAGAAATCTGAAAAACTCTGCATCAGAGTCTGACAATACCCGTCCCCACAGCTACAGGTGTTCCTCAGCCACACGCTTAAGATGCCTTTCCCAGCTGACCATGAAGTTAATATTTGCTTTTGCAGCATGTTCTCCTCCGGCTCCAGGGGGTTGGATTATGATGCCAACCATCTCCTCTGTACCGCTGAGCACCCGGGCCCGTCAAGATAAATCACAGGCTGATAGTCAGGGACACGCTGGGATCCTTTCTAGTTGTTCTGGCTTTGTTGGAGACACTGAGGGTGTGAACTGAAGTCCCAGAGTGTCCCCTGAGGAGCCCTGTGCGGAGAGCTGGAGGCCAGCAGGAAGACGGGCTCCTGCACCACAGGGATGAGACGGGAGCTGCCCGTGCACGGCTGTGCTGCGCTGTGGGCTTCTGCTGGGTGCGTGGAGGTGACGGTGAGGCCGTGGAGTAAAGCGTGACTCTGTCAGGCTGCTGATGAGCCGCCGTGCTGATTGATAGCTGCAGTGTTTTGGCTTGCAGGAGCACATTCCTGGATGGAGCTCAAGCGAGCCTCCACATTTAGCCATTAGCCAGGGCTAGGAACTAAAAGAAAACATGTCTGTCAAAAGCAACAGCCAGCAGACGTAAAGATCAGTCTCCTTTACCCCCCCCACCCCAACACACACACAGCAACCAAAGCAAAACAATGAAGCCAAAAAACAACACCAGCTCAAACGGTTGATCTGTAAACGGTATTTAATCAACACATTCCTGCTGAGAGCCTGCTGCCTGCTGAGGGGGACCACATCTGTTTGTGTACAGGGGCGGTGCAGGCCACAGCCCCGCCACACAAAACCTTCAGCATATTTCAGCTTTTCACTGCTACAATTTGCCCTCTTGCTGCTTCCCAAAAAGCATAAATATGGGCTGTGGAATGAGCGGGGGATCTGTTTTTCTCATCTGCAGCGTTGTCATTGAGGTTGAGGGAACGGAAGGCTGGATTTCAGATGCTAATTACCCGCTCAAACATGCTGGCACAGAGGCTGGCTCTGCTGGCTTGTGGCTTTGAACAGGAGACGTCTGACACCACAATATGCAGCAAACAGCACAAAACCTGCTCATCTCCTGTTAGGCTAAGCTCTACTGTCAGCCAGCATGAAGCTCTCCCTGATAGGGGGCCATGGCGACCCCCTTCTCTGAGGGGTTTTAGGGAGCAGGAGGACGGGGAAGGTGGATCTGACTTTGGAAAAGGGGAATGTTTTAGTGCCAGTTGGAGTCTTTTTTCATAGAAAGACAACACAGAAGGGGGGGCTGTGGGATCTTATCCAGCTCAGGGTGCCTGCATGTGGCACCCCTCAGTCAACCCGACCCGGAGTGGACCGAACGGACGCCCCGCTCTGTTCCACAGTCATTAGGTGAGTCTGGCCCACTGGGGAGAAAAGCTATGGCAAGGCCTTGATAAATGAGTAGAAGCTCTCTGTCAGAGACATGTCACATTAATCACAACGGACACTCTCCCCCATCCCATCCCGGCTCTGCTGGTGATAAATGGCTCTCCCCACAATGCGCATCCCACTGAAAGTTTAGTCTGGAAATGTGAAGACGAGCAGACTGTTATTACAAAAGAACATTATTAAAGTCCAGAAACAATTGTTTAGGGGTAGGGTTAGGGTTAGGGTAAATGAGCTGGACTTCAGCTCATTTACCTCTGCATCTCTTCAAATGAGGTACTAGTCTTCTTCTGCCATGTGACAGGCTGCTGGCAAGCTAATGATCCCGTTCAAACTCCTCTTTGCTAACCTCAACTTGAAACCGCTCCGCCCCAAACTAAGAACACCCTGACTTCTGTCACTGAACAGGACTAAATAACCCTGTGAAAGACATGAAGTGACACAGAGACACCTGTGGTTACCTACCCGTGCATAGTGTGGAGAGGGTTGGGCTCATAATGGTACCGGCCCTCGTGGTGCCTCATGTCGATTGGGATGGGGGTGTGGAAAGCAGGGAAAAGATGGTGGGCACCTGTAGGAATGGAAGAGAGAGGTAGGTTATGGCTCTGGAACAGATATGTGGCTGACAGGGTGGAGAATGAGAACACAGAAGCACATTTCCATGAATAAAAAAAAAGAGTGGCATCATGTTTTAATTCAAAGAGGAGCAAAGGCAAAAGGTCAGCTCGGTTTTGTGTTTTTAAAGTTGAGATGTTGAAATGAAAGAGACAAAAAACAACTCAAAAGACTCAGCTCTGTTATTTGAATTCTACAATGGTCCAAAAGACAGATTTTAACAGTTTTAGTTTTAGACCAGTGAAAAATGTCTTCTTCACTCCTTTCTCCGCCATCTGTCTCCTTTCAGAGCAGGTTGATAACAGCTTAAGAGCCTGGAATCCCTCAGCAGGCAGTTAGAACTGAAACATGGAAACATGGTCTCATTTCTTATCTGAGAGGATCCTCAGTCATCCAGGTCATGGTCAAGCTTGGAAGTTCAGTTAGACAACTGGAGTTAGCCAAGCCTCTCATCCAAGAGGCTTCATCGGTTCTCATTTCCTGGAGTCTCCTTTCTTCTTTCCCGAGCTTTTAAACGAGGCTGAGGACTCCCTGTAGCCAGCAGCGTGGCAGCGAGGTGGAGCCAGACTGGGGGCTCTGAGAGTGAGGTGGATGTTGTGCTGGGTGATGCTAACCCTGACTGAGTCTTGGTTCTTTCTGACTGAGGCAGTGTCTTGTTCTCTGTTAATTCTGATGGAATTACAAAGGACCGGGGCAGGACAGCCCCCCTGAGGGCAGCTCTGTGTTGTCCAAACAGTGTGGCATTAGCCAACATTAGCCTTCTATCCCTGTTGGTCTTTGGAATAGCCCATGCATTGCTTTACATCTGCATATCAGCAGATCATGATGATAATCAGCATTAACTTTTGTCTGCAGAGACAACAAGGAAAACTCATAAAGCTGCACACACTGCATTGTAATGCAGAGACTAATAAGAGACTAATGTTGCACTGAGCCTTCAGCTCATTCCTGAACAGTGGTGGGTTTGTCAGTAAATCCCAGCTACATCCACACTAAAAGAACAGACCCGTTTCAGAGGCTGAGCGTCCTGCAGCCTCTCCAGGCTGGTGCTGCTGGACCCGGGGTGATAAGGGCTGAGAAAGGCCCTCTATCACCCGGACAGCTGCATTGTTTGGTGGGCTTCAGGGACAGCTGTAGGCAGGTGTGTGGTGAGAGACGTTCAAGCTCCTCGCCTCTTTTGCATGTAGGCTTACTCCAACCAAGACATCAAACACTGTCAAACAGAGGAGTACAGCCATGTCTCCTGAGGCCCTTTCCTGACTTATGTTCCCTATATGGCTAAAAACTACTCCTAAAGCCACATATTTGTACTTTCAGAAGCCCTGAAAGCTACACTTATATTCCCAAGTAGCAAACAGACAAACTCTAAGGGTCCAACAGCGGGACCTCAGCACCCCGGAGGCAGGTTGTTGGACCCCTAAGGGTGCAATTAGGTGGCTTTTTTCTGAGTGTGTTTCCTAAAAAGGGCAGAGGGCACTTATCAGTTTGGTAATGAGTCCAGATTGTGGTCTGAGGTTTGAGTCTGTGGTTTTGTGCTGGTATGATGTAGTCCTGTTTGTCATCCGCTCTGATCTCTCCATTGTTTCAAGTATGAACACATCTATCCTGTAGGAGGGCTTCATAATTGCATTTTAAAACTGCATTTTAAAGCCTGATCTCTCCACAGACAGTTCCAGGTGTTCAGTGTTCAGTGACAAAGACCTCTCTGGGTTTCATGACTCAGGAAGAAGAAGGAAAAGCCCTTTCACATTATGTCCACATGGACTCGCATATCAGAGCCATGCTGGAGTGGGAAGGAGAGAGGACTCATGTCTTTGAGGAAGTCCTCAGTGATAATAATAATACCCTGAGAGGCCAGGCTGGGCCAGGAATAATTTTCAGGCAAAAAAGCCTTTGTTGTGCTTTGAGAGCGAGGGGCAGTGAGACAGAGCGAGAGAGGGAGAAAGCATGAGGGGAAGAAAGAGGCGCAGCTCATAGGAGTCGGAGAGGTGGGGGTGATCCATTCAGACAGGAAATTCCACTAGAAAAAGTTGGCCTCGGTCCTAACTACACAGCGCTGTGCCAACAGCAATACACAAGTGCTCATGTGCTTCCATACACACTCACAATTCCACAGACAGGCACTGATTTGTTCTGGGGTTCAGTCTCAGCAAGCCACCAAAAGGAGGAACTGGGACAAACGTAAAGGTGTTACTATGTCCCTTTTAAAACACAAACACACACACATGCACGCACACACACAAACCAAGCACACTAAGCACAAAGGGAGTGAAACGTCAGGTTAATAATGCAGGGATCCTGCTCCTCTCAGCAGATGAATCTGCAGGTTTGGGTGGCAGGACATGGCTTCCTCTGGGGCAGGACATGGCTGAGTGATGGTGACAGACGGATTAGAGGCTTACAGGAGAGCTCAGAACCCCTGCCATCCATGGAGGGAAGCCTTAAAAGGGGGGCTACTTTAACAGCCCCCAGGGAGGGTAAAATGATACCTGCTTTATTGATAGGGGGATTTAGGGCAGAAGGTAAATGGATTAGGTCAACAGAATATGGTTTGAGAGGAAATAGGCTTCACAGTTCCCCCTGAATCCTGCTAGGCCTGCGCATGTCTGCGGGAGTCCATCGGAAGGAGAACTTCTCTGCAGGTGTAGGGGCGGAGTGGGCGTAATAAGAAATCAGATACTTAAAGTGCCTCAAAATAGTGCGGCCCATCACATGGACACAGTTTCTTTATCTGTAAAGAACAAACAAAGTACTGGAATTAGAGTTCCATTCACTTTCATTATTTTCTAGTTCTTCCTTTGTTAAGCTCTTTACGACCAGAGGAGCCAGCGATACAAAGCGTTTCTAGTTTCAGCTCACTACTGATAAAGAAGTTAAAAGAGTTCAACTCTGATAAGGGAAAAGTCAGCAATTCCAAAAAAAAGCTGAAGGTTCAGTCTCTCCAACATTTCCTTTTGTTCTCAGAAGTCTAAGAGAGAGTTTTAAGCTGAGCAGAGCAGGTCTCAGAAAGCCTTTAAAGCCTGAACCCTGTATTTTAAGACTCATTATAAAGTATCATTGTAAGGCATTTGTACTGTTTTCAGAATAGCTACGCTAAAAAAGTGGAAAATAGTGTGAGATTAAATCTAGTCTGTGGGCTGCTGAAGTGCTGTGGGCCTGTGTTTATATCTGGTTGCCATGCTGCCCTGATGCCCCCCCCCCAGCTGCCCAGCCCCTGGTGCTCCTTTCCTGTCCTGACGTGTTTACACATCCCATTCAGACCCAGCTGGGTTCTCTCTGATATGATTAGTCTAAGTCAGGACTACATGGCTGCTCCGGCCAATCACTCCCATCCTCAGCAGTAACCCCATGAACCCACCGCCAGCCTCATCTATCACCTGGCTACAAGGTGCCGCCCCAGCTCTGGTAATTGTTCTAAAGACTGCACCGCCAGGCCTGAGCTAACCTGGCTGTCCATTGGGGGCTAGTCAGTTGAAAAAGGCTCCACGGGGAAACAGGGCAGCTCTCACCAGGAAGCTGCTCAGATATCTGAGAGTTTGTCGTTCTTTCTCCAGATTTTCCTGACAGAAGTGTCTCCGGAATCAATGAAAAACTCACAAAAAGTTACAGTGTTTTCTTTCAAGTAGTAGGTAATGTGGTAAGGCTACCCTATGCTTCATGCAGAAGGCAGAGGGCCCTTCCTGGAGCCTGAAGAAGTATCAGGATGTCAGCTTCCTTTGCAGAGGTCTGACTCACCCCCGGGCCGCTGAAGAGCCAGGCTGTGAGGGGGATCTAGAGATGGATTTCTTCTCCTAATGTCCCCTCAGAGCTGAGGGGCAGAACGACGGGGAAAGGCCCCGGCAGAGCCTGAGTGCTGCTGCCTTTCTCACCCATCAAATCAGCACACAGGAAAATGCCTAATATGTGACTTCATTGTTCAGTTGCTACTTCACTCAGGTCTGAGCAGCATTTGTGCGCCAGGATCTGGCCGGAGCCCAGTCACTTCAAACGGCAGGAACTCAGAGCCTTCCTCAGTCTCCCAGGAGCCCTTTAACCTCTCAGACACAGCTGACAGAGAGGCTGCCAGTTCACACAAAGAGTGTCCTCAGCACACCATGACGGCATCCGTAGTGCAAGCTCAGCACCGCCCCCCCACCCCAAGTCGTAAACAGGCATTTTTTCCTTTAAGAGGAGAAGAGAAGGCAGAGGAAGCGCCTAAAACAGCACACAATGAGTGGGAGAAGGAGGCTCCACACATCAATCTAAAGCTGACTTAGCAGGGGGTCACTGTGAGGTGAGGGCCCACCCATAGCCCCAACCCCCCGGCTCATGGGAGACACTGGGGAGTAGCTCCTGGAAGGACCTGGCCTGGTCTCTATCAAGATGCCATGCTGAATCTGTAAGATGTGTCTGCAGTCTTCTGGAGAAATGCTGTAAGGGGCTCAGAAGTGCCTTCATCCTGAGGGAAAACGTGCCCGTGTCCGTGCACTCGGGAGGATGGAGCTTCTATGGAATAAACAAGTGATATTCACACATTTCAGGGTGCCATTAACAGCAGCAGAGGTCCTAAGAGCCGGGCTGCTCAGGCCTCAGCACAGGAACACAAGGCGAGCAGGTCTCTGCTCAGAGAAAACTGGGCCCACTTTACAGTTTGCCCTGCATGTCCAATCTGTGAGTCCAAGCCATGTTTCCTAACTGGCTTCCTCGTGGGTACACACACAGTACTGAGCTTAAAACAAACGGCTCTAAACTTTCAGTCTTATCAAAATCAGTTTGGGCTGAAAAGAGAAGCAGTTTGGGAGGAATGAGAGCTGGTCCTGTTCATCACTCTGAACCTCTGAAGTGAGGAGCTCTGAGGCCGGCCATCCTGATAAGATAAAGTTTAGCACTCTTTCAATGCATACACACACACACACACACACACACACCGACACACACACACCGACACACACACACACACACACACACACACACACACACACACACACACAGGATCCCGTAAACCCCCTTCTCGTCTGGCCTCTTTCTTGGGGCAGGACTCAGTGTGGAAACTCTGGGAATTGGTTTTACAGCTTTAACACAAAACAGCTGTGAAGCAGGTCAGAGGGCCTCCGAG